CCCCCATCGCTCGTTTATCCCCCCCCCCCAAACACTACTGGACACAGATTTAACTGATGACGTCAGACATCTGTTGTAGAGAGTACGCAGGTGCTGACGTCATGGCGTGTCCCTGCATCACTTCCGGCTAGAAGATTATGAAATCCCAGATTATCCGGACATCCCTGGGGAGATGATGGAGATTTAACGGGTGTGTGTGGGGGGGGGGGGGTGTTCTAATTTTGGAGGGGACAAGTTTCACACCTGAACCTTATCACGTGATTTTGTTGTGCACAGAAAGGCGGGGTGGGTGTTGTCATCTGGCGGGTGCTAGTTATGTGTGTCTTCTGCTTCTGTGAGCAGATGTGCACTGAGGCTGGTTGGGCCGTTGGGCCATCTCATGAGTCAAGTCGGGCCATTGGGCCATCTCATCAGTCAGGTCGGGCCACTGGGCCATCTCATGGAGCAGGTCGGGCCATTGGGCCATCTCATCAGTCAGGTCGGGCCACTGGGCCATCTCATTAGTCAGGTCGGGCCATTGGGCCATCTCATGGAACAGGTCGGGCCACTGGGCCATCTTATTATATAGGTCGGGCCACTGGGTCATGTTTATGGCCTCCAGGCTGCCTCTCCATTCTGAGAATCCACGAGGTCAAGGGTTACGTGTCATCACACACATTTCGTTTACACCCCGTTACTTACCGGATCCACATAAGAAAGGGGGGTGGGGAAGTGGAGGGAGGGGGAGGAGACAATAAAACAAAACAACTTGTTACCCCATCTAAAGGCATCTTCTTTTAATTTTTTAGACTCAACCAAATATCAGTTGGTGGCTGTGTGGTTGAGTTGTAGACTGCACTACTGCAACTACAGGGCAGTTGAGTTCGAACCCGATGTTTTGGCTCTCTAATGCTTTTTTGTACTTGAATATACACCCCCCCCCCCCACCCGTCTCTACCATGGGGCTCCAACATACAATATTTTTGCCTGCTTGTCGCCAGCTGCTAGTTCATCATTTAGCTAGTCCGTATAGGTCTATAACCCCTATACTCGAAATATGCGGCCAAGTACATCTATCTAATATATAAAGCTCAGTTCTGTAACGTGTGGCAAAAAACAAAAAAGTTTGTCGTTGACACTTCTACGGATTTAAGTGTTAGATTTTTTATCGTGCTCAAAGTCTAAATGTACGAGTCGAAAAATTACCATTGAAAGTCTTTAAAAACAATTTTCATTCTATTTACTTAGAAGAATAATTTTCAATTATGAACACGACATAAAATTTTTAAAAAGTGTATCGACGTTTATAAAATTTCTAAAATTGTGTCGGAAATGTATTGACTGCAAAGTTACTTCCCTTTAATGAAAAATAAATCCTTAAGAAGAGAGAATTAACATTTTATTACTTTGTTTTTGGTGTTAAGAAAAAAAAAATAATTACACAATTAGCGGGGATTGATTAAGTGCAATGTCGTTAGGTATTTTTAACACTGCCTTTTATTTATTCTATACACTGAACATACTGTTCAATAATTATTAATTTTTTAAAAAATCAATAACATTTAATAAGCCAGGTCCTACAAATCATATACGTTTATTTCTTTCCATTTACGGATAAGCTTGGAGTATTATCATTTTTGTTCACTAAATTGAAACAGGCGCGTCCGCCGGCGCCCCTGCACGGTTTGATTTGGCACCCTGGGCTATCATGTGAGCGCTATGCTGCATAATTTTGTTTTAAACAGTGCGATAGACTATGGATAAGAAAGGTTACTATAGTCTTTAAGTGAATCAAATCCGGGCGTCCTCCGGCACCCCGACAGGGTGCTATTTGGCGCCCCGGGCCTTCCGGTGTACGCTATGGTATCTACGTTCGCGTGAGTTCAAAAGACTATAAATAAGTTATGCACTATAGGCGTTTACTAAGTTCAATCAGGCGGTGACGTCATGGTGCGTCCTCTGGCGCCCAGACAGGGTGCTTTTTGGGGTCCCGGGCCTCCCGTGTTCGGTTTCGCGCCTACGTTCATTAAAGTGAGTGCAAAAGACTATGAATAAGTTGGGGTACTATAGTCGTTTATTAAGTTGAAGTAGGCGATTCAGCCCCGTGAGCACTTTGCGTTTATATTCGCGTTAGTGTTTTCTTTGTGTTTAGGTTGGGTTTGCGTTAGTGGTTGCGTTTTGATTTGGTTCGTTTTTGTTCTTTCTTTTTTCATTTTCGTTTGTGTTTTATTTTCATTGGGTTTGTGTTTGTATTTGTGTTTGAGGTTGGTTTTGCGTTTGGATTTGGTTTGTTTTCGTTTGTTTTTTCTTTTGTGTTTTTTTTCTTTGGGTTTGTGGTTGGTTTTGCGTTTGTATTTGGTTTGTTTTCGTTTGCTTTTTCGTTTGTTTTTTTCTTTGGGTTTGTGTTTGTGGTTGGTTTTGTGTTTGGATTTGGTTTGTTTTCGTTTGCTTTTTTCTTTGTGTTCGTATTGGTGTTTGTGGTTGTGGTTGGTTTGTTGTAAGTTTTTGTTTTCGTTTGTATTTGTAATTGTGTTAGCGTTATGTTTGCGTTTTGTTGTTTTGGTTTTGGTTGGTTGTGGTTTGGGTGGGCAATGCCGGGTTTATGATGATTACTAAACACACAAGTGATGGTCTTTAACAGAAGGGTCTTTCACAGAAGCCAGAGCAGGGCCTGGCCGGGACGGCTAGTCTAATATATAAAGCTCAGTTCTGTAACGTGTGGCAAAAAACAAAAAAGTTTGTCGTTGACACTTCTACGGATTTAAGTGTTAGATTTTTTATCGTGCTCAAAGTCTAAATGTACGAGTCCAAAAATTACCATTGAAAGTCTTTAAAAACAACTTTCATTCCATTTACTTAGAAGAATAATTTTCAATTATGAACGCGACATAAAATTTTTAAAAAGTGTATCGACGTTTATAAAATTTCTAAAATTGTGTCGGAAATGTATTGACTGCAAAGTTACTTCCCTTTAATGAAAAATAAATCCTTAAGAAGAGAGAATTATCATTTTATTACTTTGTTTTTGGTGTTAAGAAAAAAAAAATAATTACACAATTAGCGGGGATTGATTAAGTGCAATGTCGTTAGGTATTTTTAACACTGCCTTTTATTTATTCTATACACTGAACATACTGTTCAATAATTATTATTTTTTTTTTAAATCAATAACATTTAATAAGCCAGGTCCTACAAATCATATACGTTTATTTCTTTCCATTTACGGATAAGCTTGGAGTATTATCATTTTTGTTCACTAAATTGAAACAGGCGCGTCCGCCGGCGCCCCTGCACGGTTCGATTTGGCACCCTGGGCTATCATGTGAGCGCTATGCTGCATAATTTTGTTTTAAACAGTGCGATAGACTATGGATAAGAAAGGTTACTATAGTCTTTAAGTGAATCAAATCCGGGCGTCCTCCGGCACCCCGACAGGGTGCTATTTGGCGCCCCGGGCCTTCCGGTGTACGCTATGGTATCTACGTTCGCGTGAGTTCAAAAGACTATAAATAAGTTATGCACTATAGGCGTTTACTAAGTTCAATCAGGCGGTGACGTCATGGTGCGTCCTCTGGCGCCCAGACAGGGTGCTATTTGGGGTCCCGGGCCTCCCGTGTTCGGTTTCGCGCCTACGTTCATTAAAGTGAGTGCAAAAGACTATGAATAAGTTGGGGTACTATAATCGTTTATTAAGTTGAAGTAGGCGATTCAGCCCCGTGAGCACTTTGCGTTTATATTCGCGTTAGTGTTTTCTTTGTGTTTAGGTTGGGTTTGCGTTAGTGGTTGCGTTTTGATTTGGTTCGTTTTTGTTCTTTCTTTTTTCGTTTTCGTTTGTGTTTTATTTTCATTGGGTTTGTGTTTGTATTTGTGTTTGAGGTTGGTTTTGCGTTTGGATTTGGTTTGTTTTCGTTTGTTTTTTCTTTTGTGTTTTTTTTCTTTGGGTTTGTGGTTGGTTTTGCGTTTGTATTTGGTTTGTTTTCGTTTGCTTTTTCGTTTGTTTTTTTCTTTGGGTTTGTGTTTGTGGTTGGTTTTGTGTTTGGATTTGGTTTGTTTTCGTTTGCTTTTTTCTTTGTGTTCGTATTGGTGTTTGTGGTTGTGGTTGGTTTGTTGTAAGTTTTTGTTTTCGTTTGTATTTGTAATTGTGTTAGCGTTATGTTTGCGTTTTGTTGTTTTGGTTTTGGTTGGTTGTGGTTTGGGTGGGCAATGCCGGGTTTATGATGATTACTAAACACACAGGTGATGGTCTTTAACAGAAGGGTTTTTCACAGAAGCCAGAGCAGGGCCTGGCCGGGACGGCTAGTATAATATAAAGTTACATATAAATAGGGTAGTGGGGGTAGAATGTGGTGCTTATCTTGCCTAGTGTGAGGTGTGCGCTTATCTAGCTGGGTGGGGAAGGAGGGTGTTGCGCCACTTAAAATATTTGTTTTTACCCGCCACAACTGTGGAGAGTTGAGACGCCATGTTGGATTCGCTTCACTGAACAGTAGTCATGGACAACAACACAAACCTTGAGCGTGACCGCGTGTGTGTACGTGTGGTGTTGCTCAGCTGAATTTTGCTCTACCATCTTAGTCTTTCAACCCCATCTACTAAAATTCCTGTGGACACGCTATTTCGTTGCATCGATGTTATAATCAACTGCGCAGTTTTAACTAACAGGATTAAGCAGGCGACCAAATATCGATTGAATGCAGCATCCGGAAACACACCTGTTTAAAAAAAATAAATCAGTAGTTGATTTAAAAATAGGCAGAACGAAAAGTTTAACTATCAAGAAAGATAATTCAGTTTGATCTCGATTCAGTCCCTTTTTTGCTTCAAAAACCTCAGTTAAATAAAGCCTGTAGGCCTTTTTTTTTTTTAAACCAGTTATATGTGGCGAGATTTAGATTGGCGGGCGGGGTGATTTGTCGCGAGGCGGCGGTGTGTTGAGGCGACGCGCTAGACTTGGCTGGTTTTCTAGGTTAAAGGGCGAAACAGATTTTGTGGACGGTGGGAAATCTAAGGTGAAGGTAAGTTAGCAGACGACTTGAGTTTTCCAGCCGTAAATTTAATGTTTCAATATAGGCCTACATGTTTTTTATGTGGGATTATTATTGAATAGATCAAATCTAGATCTAGAAGGTACGGTTCGCAAGTTTCATTCTGGAATTATTGGGGTGTTGAAAAGTGTTCAGTTTGGCTGTGAATGAAAAGTAGAGATTGAAAACATTACCTTTTGATTAATATATTTTTAAAAAATTAAGGTAAGTAAGTACTAAGTAGGCCTACAATATGTACAAACTATGGTCAAAGTAGATCTAGATCTAGAATCTAGATCTAGTCTTTACTGCTGTGATTGTAGTAAAATTAAATTATGCATTATGGTTAATACTAACTTAATACTAATACAATACACTTTGATAGATCTAGATCTAGTTCGTAAACAGAAAACGCGATCATTTTTTGCACATCAACAGTTCTTAACTAGTGTAGTAGTGTAATCGTATATTTAATTTCTTGCTCAACCTAGGATTAGAATTTAAATATATTTTAATTTAGACGGTGATAAACTAACGTCGTCTACTAGATTTATATTGATTGCACCTATTAATTAATCCAATTACTTATATAATCATCAATGCTGCACGACGTATGAACTAGACCAGTGGTTCCCAACCTTTTTCGAGTGGCGACCCCCTTTTATAAAAAAATTAAGTGACCCGCGACCCCCTTAGAATTAAAAAGCCGAAATTAATATGGAAATTAATAAGCACTAAAATAAGATTTTCTAGTAGACTTTCAATATGAACTACTCTTGATAACTGTTTTAATACCATGAGTAAAATTGCATACTATTCACTAAACATTCGCGGTTAATTTTTTTTTAAAGTATTTTCTTTTGTTAACGCCAACCTATGTCATTATCATTATCTTAATTTTGTTTCTAATCGAAAAATAGTGTTAAAAATCTATTCTCGAAAAGGCAATCAATTTTTTTTTTGGGAATGAATGGTGAATAATACACCAAATTGAGTCTGCAGTTTTTCGTCTTACGCGGATTCATTCTACAAATCAAAGAAATCATATTGTAATTCATCGTGAATGCTGGCAACATCGAGGGAAGAAGAGAATGGATAATGCGTCAATGCAGATTCTTTTTTTTTCAGCTCAGATAAATAGCGCTGCAGTTCGTTTTCACTAGATTCAAGATGCCCAGAAATTTCTTCTTTCAAAATTTTAATTATCTCACAATTAGATTCATCTACCACACTGCAGAGTTTCTCAAATTTACAATATTTTCAAAGATTTTTTTTCTTCGCCGATTTTGCTGCTTTGATAAAAATGCCCCGAGATAATCATGGAAAGTGATAATATTCGTTCATTTTCCCTGAAGCTTCAGGTTATGTTTATGTTAATGTACGAACACATCTGCTAGGTATGATACTCTCTTCAACCACTCTATGTCGTTTTAAGTATACCAAAAGGTCTTGTTTCCTTTGAATTTCCAAGAACAATTTGATTTCAGATTTCAATTAAAAACCACGATTCACAACAATTCGTTGGACAGCCAGCGCACTGTAGTGTAGACGAGCAGAACCTCGTGATCTATATTTAGGTCTTTGCTCAGTTCTTTGAAGGCTACAGATTTTATATAATTCACCACTTATACTAGCAATGGAGTCTTGATGGCGATTGGTGAGGGCAGTGGTTAGGGAGCTAAATCTTTTCTGCTTTCTGAAAGCCCGATTTTGACCTAAACATAGATGGTACTCCATCCGTACAAACCCTCACAGCCGTTTTAACCCATTTTAATCATCCAATTTAAAAAAAAACGTATTTATTTTCTCCATGCTATCTTCACAAAAGAGCAACTCTTCTTTGCTATCATCTGAATCAGTATAGACAAAGACCAGCAACTGCGAAAACGAACTCACGAACTCACGTCTGTTGATTTATCAACTTGAAAAGCAAACAATGGTGAAAGCTTAATTTTAATAAAAATGTGTTATTTAACATCTATGGACATGTAAGAATTAACTTCACCATCTTCAACATGCAGCGTTTGATGAGATTTTCTCCTATTGTATTTTTTTTTTTGCTTGGCATTTTCTGTCGGGACTTCATGTGATGCTTGCACTAATGCTGTGTTTCCTTGGTGGAAATTTCCTGTTCGATCAAGTCTCTGACGTTTGCAACTAGCTTCATACCGAATGGTGTGTTTCGAATGACTCGTCTCAAATGACATTTTAGTTTTGAAGATTTCATAAACTCGTGACTGAGAACAACTTTGTACAGTAGGCTTTGCTTCTTCTCTATTCCCTTTCCAGTGATGTTAGTAAAGCCGAATTTAAAAAATTCTTCTAAATATTTATGTTTTGCTTCAAATTACTAAGGTTTAGTATACCAGTTGGCGACCCCCCAGAAAGCCCTTCGCGACCCTCAGGGGGGTCGCGACCCCCAGGTTGGGAACCCGTGAACTAGACCCTGTGTCAGCCAGTTGACATCAGTATCGTCTGTCAGATATCTGGGTTTCTAGGCCTACATTTATCCATTCAGTACCCCCCCCCCCCCTCTCTCTTAAAACTTTGTTACATGGCGGAGTTGTTGTAAATGCTGGTTAGTGTTGCAAGTGTTGAAACAGTTAAAGGTAGGATGTGACACCCCCCTGACACAATATATGGTGTGACATCACCCCCACCCCAACCCCCACTTGACCCAACGACTCGTGTAGCTAATGTTAACCTACTAGTGTTTTTACATCTGTTAGGTAACGTTTGTCAGTCAAATGTTTGTTTGGGTCGCCCACACCCCCCCCCAATCAATGAATACTACCTAGGTTTTACACGTTTTCTTCAACCGTCTGCTGTTTGTCCCATCATTCATCTGGAGGTCCGTTCTAAACGTGTTTGGCCGTTAGTCCAGTTGTATCCCGTGCGTGTTGGTGTGAATGGTCTTGGTTGAAACGTTTTAAATTCTAATCGCTTGATTGTATTGTGACAGCCTTTCGTAATCACGGGTTATGGTTAGGTTTGTGGGGGGGGGGGGGGTTAGGTTTGTGTGGGGGGTGGGGGAGGAGGAAGTTGTTTATTGTTTTGTCTTGGTAACCCATAGTAAAATTTGTCGTAATTTACATTTCATATTCCTCCTGTTAAAGACGTGTTGATCTTGGTTTGAAGTGGGGGGGGGGGGGGGGGCGCTATATTATGGAACGGGGGGGGGGGGGGAAGGGTGTGCTGTTGTTATAGAATGGAGGGGAGGGTGACGTTATATTATATGATGAAGGTGAGGGGTGTAACGTTATATTATATGATGCAGGGGAGGGGTGTTGCTTATTGTGAAATGTATCGGTGGTAAGGAAAGTGAGGGGTGAAAATGAACTAAAATTGTTTGACTTTATTTCAGGACAACCTCCCAAACCCCGATCATGCATATCTAATTTAATTAATTAGTCGCCAAGAATATCGATACCTTTCAGTGGTATCGGGATCGCGTTGAGCATTGCTCAGAAATTGGCGCGCGACTCAACAACTGCGATATGTAAACAAATAAAACTAAAAGTTGATCAAGTGTAACAAAAATTGGAGGTTTAACGCCATGTAAAGTATACAGACAGTGATAAAAATGGTTAGTAGCATTCTGCGATCACGCAGGTTTACACAGACACTATTTGTAGGGTTTCCCATTAAAAAAAAAATAGATGCCTACCTAAATTAATAACGGCCAATGAGTTAGGGGTCGGGGGGGGGGGGGGGGGGGAGAAAGGGGAGGTAATTCGTAAATCTCGTCAAGCCTTTTGAATATTTCTACCCCCCCCCCCCCCCCACACACACACACATCGTCACACATCGTCACAAAAGTCCTACTTTTGCTGACTCCCCGTTGCGGGTGACTTATTGTAATGTTAGAGATTGTTGTTATCAAGTAGCTCTGTCCGCTCTTTATAATCTTTGGTGTTCTTTCGAACTTGTTGAATACTTTGTACTTTACTTAGGGCAGTTTTAATTAGATTAATTACTCCAGACGGATTAATTACGCTAGCAGAAGCCGGTGTGCCTAGCAACAGGTGAAACATTGTTTAAAAATGTAAAACCAGTCGTTAATTGAATCAGCTGTAAGGGACCGTAACTACATGTATTGTACAACGTGGATAGAGGGGGTGGGGTTAGAGTGGTTGGTAAATAGAAATGCTATATAATTTTTATTTTTATTAGTACATTATATTGTAGTGTGGGTTGCTCCTAGATATGTTTTTGTGTTTTATAACATGTGCATGACCCCTAAATGATAACTGGGAGGGATCGCCCAAATGATGTAGTGAGATTCCCAAATGATGTGATGAGATACCCAAATGATGTGATGAGATACCCAAATGATGTGATGAGATCCCCAAATGATGTGATGAGATATGATAGCTGTATCGAGATTGCTAAAACATACTTGGGGTGGGGGATGAGATCCCAACATATTATTTGAGATGATGCTGTACTTTCTTTTGACTCAACGGCTACCTGGGCTAGAACTTAAGACACGTCATTTGTTTTTACATGATCACATTTTTATCTAAGCCAGTGATGCATGAACAAAATGGCCAAAATATTGATGGAAAAGATAGTTGTAGTTGACGTCAATTTTTTAAATATTTGTTTCATCCTAACAAATGTTTTAGTTGTCAAACCCCTCCCTCATCCCATTGTTTGGATGATGCAGGTGTTTTTAAGACATCCACCACACACACATCTTAAGATCTAGCAGTAATAGCACTGATGCGAGAATGTGCGGGGCTATTTTTGGTTACGTAAACACACCCCGGCGCGCACGGCTCAATAAATTATTGATCGCGTGTGACCTACTTAGCCGATGTACACAAAAGATATTGTGTCAGTAAGATGGCCGCTGGTGCAACAACCAGAGTCATATATTTTATGGTCGCCTCTTTCCCCCCCCCCCCTCCCCCACATCCTGGCTACAAGTGCTTACACCTATAAATTAACATACACGTGCATTTAGGCACGTATATGTATACATACATCTGTGCTTACATATCAGTACCTACACGTGCGGGTTAGACATACGCAAACATATTAAAGGGTATCGGCAATAACATCGCTAAATGTTTGGTTAGGCTTTGTTTAGGGTTAGGGCTAGGGTAGGGTATGGCATAGATATTTGGGCTAGGGTAGGGTATGGCCCAGATATTAGGGCTAGGGTAGGGTATGGCCCAGATATTAGGGCTAGGGTAGGGCCCAGATATTAGGGCTAGGGT